CTCGCACTCCTCGCACTCCCTCTCAGCGTCCCTCCACCCCAAGATATCTTTGATATCATCGACCGCAGCGCCCGTGCGCACATACATCTCCTCCGCCTCAACATGCTCGCGCAGAACGCACAGGTCGCACTCGAACGACGCATCCGAGAGGCGCTGGGACGTGAGGCGGTTAAGCGAGTGGGTTAGGGATGCGAGCGTCAGGAGCGAGAGCGGGAACTTGAGCATCTCGTGCTCTACGCCACTATCAGCACCTCTCCCCCTCCCCAATCACACCATCGGATGGACTTACGACGCACGACCAGCCCCGTCATCCACCACACGTCCTCGCACACGACGTCCCACATCCACTCCGCCGGGACGAGGAGGCGGAGGGGCGTTGAAGAGGCGCGCAGCTCGGAGAGGAGCGCGCCGGGGAGGGGGATGTTGATGTCGAGGGCGAGGGCGCGGAGGAGGGTTTGTTGGGATGTCTGTGGGGGGCGTGAGTATGGGCGGATGAGCGAGCGTGCATGGAGAGCATGAGAGAGAGGGAGTAAGAACGTACCTCGAACTCCTCGAAATACACCTCATGCGGCGCGATCCTCATAAAATCCCGCGCATACACGGGCCTCAGCGGGCGCAGGACGTCGCGGTCGAACTATCGGCGCGTCAGCCATATCCAGCGTCTTCTTGCAGACCAGGGTCGGATGAGGATGAAGGGCGGTCGGGAGGAGAGGGAGGGGAAGGGGGGAAGGGTGCTGGTGGTAGCGAAGAGAGAAGAAGGGAAGAAACGCACCTTGACGGCAAGCGCCACAGCCGCAAGCGCATAATCGAACGCGAGATCGCGTTCGCCTTCGAGCTCTCCGCGGCTCGCTCTTTCCTTCTCCCCACCACCGCCCTCTCCTCCCTCCCCTACCGCTTCAAGTCCGATGAGAGCATTAAACCGCGCCACGTCCCTCTCCTCCTCCTCCCCCTCCTCTTGCATTGTCATCTGAGCAGCCAACTCGGCCCGCGCCCGCGCGTTCTCGACGACCCAATACATCCTAAACAATACCGCGGCAAAGAAGGGCGTGTGCGGCGAGGACGTGAGCTGGGCGTGGAGGTTGTCGGAGTAGGAGCGGGTGTTTGGGAGGCGGGGGGTGTGGGCGTTTGAGGGTGGGATGACCTGCGGGGCTCCGGTCAGCAAGGAGAGAACGGAGGAGAGGTGAGGGAGGGGATGGGGGAAGGGGAGAGGGAAGGGGAGAGGGAGGGGAGACGTACGGTCAAGATCCACTCCACTGCGCCTTCGAGCAACCTCGGGTTTAAGCTCACGTCGTATTGGCGCTCCCTCTCCTCCACCTCTTCATCGTGCCCGTCCTCGTCGACGTACGCGTACATCCCGTTCTCGCTATACACATACCGCTCCTCCCTCCCCTTCGCGCGCGAACGGTCGAACTGCGACTCCAACCCCAACTCACTCCGCATCCTGCGCTCCTTCTCAAGCAAGTTCTGGAGCCGGCGCAGCGCGATGTCTTCGGCTGTCTCGGGGCGCGCGGGGATCCAGGGCTGGAGGGGGAGGTATACGATCTGCACCGGCGCTGGAACGGGCGCGGGAGTTGAGGGGCGTGTGGGGATGTACGCCACTCCCACACCTACACCGGCACCAGCGTCGTACGGCGAGACGGACATGTTGGAACTATCGAGCTCATCGTATTCTTCGTCTTCGTGGATTGGTAGCCGGGCGTTGATCTGTGCGCATACACGCATACATTCAGCATATATGCGCAGGTAGTGGGCGCGACAGGACGTACGGAGTTCTGACTCTGCGACGCGTCGGAACGCAAGGAACGCGCTTTACGCAGTGCGGCTGGTTCACGGGCGTAGCTTGAACTGGACGTAGACTGGATGCGGGGAACGGAGGGCGGGCTGAGGGAGAGCAGGCGGGCGCGTTTGGGTGGTCGGTTCTCGTCTTCTCCTTCATCGTCTTCATAGAAGGAGGGGTTGTGAGCGGAGGTGGAGGAGAGGACGGGGAGGGCCCACGAGGGCAGATAGGTTGCCGGGTCGGACTGCGAGCGGTACCACGAGGACGTAGCCGACAGCCTCGACACATTCATGCCATTACCTATCCAACACGCCAAATCAGCAGATATGCATTGGGAAAAGGGCATACAAGCCCTACGTACCGAAACCCTCATCCGACCTCTGCCTCTTCCTCACCTCAACAGCGGCATCAGCGAGCTCTTCCAGACTTCCCCTCGAATACTCCCCCGACGACACGGAGTCCGTATCGGGCAACCGGTCCTCGAGCGAGGAATAAGTGCCGTGCGAGAGCGTCGGTGTGCTGGAGGGTGGGAGGCAGCGGGTGTAGGATTGCAGGTCCGAGAGGAGGTCGTCGCGGAGGTAGGACGTCGGCGAGGGGGATGAGGTGTAGGGCGTGTAGATGGTCATTGTATGCGGGGGATGCTGGAGCTAAAGTTAGCGTTGGTATGGGAAGAGGAGTAGAGCGAGATGGGGAGGGTTAGAGGGGAGGGAAGGAATAAAAGAGCGCATACATTCAGCTTCTGCCTCTGTACTCTCAATCGTCGCGTCTCGATTCGTGCAAGGTCGCCCTACACCCAATTTCCTCATCAGTCCTCGCACTTCTCGCGCCGCGTCGAATGGAGCGCATACCTTTCAAGCGATGGGTGGAGGTGGTGGGGAGAAGAGCGAGAAAGAGCGGGATGGCTCAGACGCCCGACGCGTCGAGCGCGAACAGGCTGCCTGTCAAACGAGCCAGCCGCGCGGGCCGGCTGATCGCCACAACGCGCCTGTTTCGACTTCGCTTCTCGCGCTTGTCTTGCACTCGGATGGCCCTTTGTACTCGACGTTCTCACCCCGGGCCCGTCTTACTACCTCAAGCATGTCCTATCTCAGTTTCAGAGCTTCAGCTACACAACCAGTTGTGCGACCTTGAACGTTCGTGAACACCGGCCCGGTCGACCGGAACGCGGTCAAGTGACGTATTCGCGTCCGACGCGCATTCGCCCGTTCGGGCTTTGCTTCTCGCGTTCACCACTCCGACGCAGAGCGCTTGCGCGAACTTGATTACCTAGCCACTCTTCCCTGGACGGCAACAACTGTCACGAACTGAACAGTCGCTAAATATGTGCCAATGGGTATGGATCGATCATCGTTTCGCCGATCCGGGCGTGCATCAACATTGGTAGCCAAGGAGGCGCCTTACCTCCCGCCGCACGTTAGCAGACCTACTCCGCCAGATACAGCTTCACATGGTCACGATCATGCTCGGAGAATGCGGACTGTGTCTACATCTAGTCACACGTATCTTTCGAGATCACCACTCTTCACAACGAACTCAGCCTCGCGCAGTTCGCTCCTCACTACGGTCATACGTCTGGCGCTCATGCGCTCATGTCCGAATGGAGAGACGTGCGAAACACGGTGAGATGCGCATATCCAGCCATCTCGCGCTCAATACACATCTGACGGAGAGTCTTTGTCATGGACAGTTGCTGATAGATACTTGCCGCGTGAGTAAGTTTCTTACCATGTTCCGCCCATCCGGGCGCTCATATGACTTACTTACTTACTCGTTTCCTAGCGCCGACGCGGCGGGATACGCTTTCTCTGCGATGTATCTGAGAGTGACCGAGGCGGCGTTCCGTTGCCTGCTGCTCTCCGCCACATCGGCCGCTCTCGGCCTATGTTTGCTCACCGGGCTACAACTGCGCTACATGGGCGCGAACGCACAGACTTTTGCAGTACGTCTCATTGGCATTCATCCGATTCCAAGGTCTGACACGATTCTGTATCCAGACTTTGGCACGCAATAGGTTCAACGACGGCTACGCCTACTTCCCGATCACCGCGCGGCTCCCGCTGTTTGCTTTGTGTTTCTCCATTTTCACGTTCTCGATGTTCTTGCTGATAGTGGCATACGTCGCGTGGCCTAGTGCAGTCTTGGCACTTGGTATAATCGGAGCGGCGCTCGTTGGGCTTCAGTCCATCGTCAAGGCGGTGGAGATGTTTGTTTGCGGGATCGCGAGGTTGGTGCGCGGAGTGCGTGTGGTATGCGTACCGGTGGCGGATGGACTGTGCGGGGAAAGGAATGCTGTGGTGGAGATGATTCAGTTGCGCACTGTAGCCGATACCGTGCTGCCTGGTCTATCTACGTACTCCTAGATCGTAAGGCTTGAGAACGATACTATCGTTGCCCGCGTTAGCATACTACTAGGTGGTGTAAACCCTCGGTCATAATTCACCCGCCCCTCATCTCCATCTCTCCATGATCTCGACTCCCACAGCAGTATTCAGCACTGACGGCGCCATACCGTGCGTACCTAAAGAGCATACGGTAAAGCGAAGCGACGATGGCCGAGTACGAATTAGATGTGGGGTGGCGCAACTCCGTGTCGGCCAGTAACTCAATTGCACGCATGCATAGCGGGAACGCAAGGCTCGGCTTGACCCTGCGATACGGTCTCCGTTCGCTCTAGCCAGGTTCTTGCGTACGAGGTAATAGTTGGTCTGTATCGTGTCGATCCGTGAGCGGAGGAAACAAGAACCCCGAACCTGAGGCCTTGTTGATCGAATCGGGCCGGGCGCCGACGAGACGAGAGGCGCCGCGCGCGCAACGCGGAGTCTCCATACATCTTGCCTCTGCCCATCATGACAATTCTAGCTTCTACTGTGCGGTCGCTCTCTGCTCGACAAAACCAAGAGAAGATGACGCACCCTTGAACGCGCTTCTCGCAATGATCCGCGACCACCTCCATCCGACAAGCGGTTGGCCGAATTGGTTCGCTCGACGGCGTTGTTGGGAATGTACGGCGGGATGGATGCACGTAGCCAAATGCAGGGCACAACCTTTCAGCAAGCCGGAACGCTCCAAAGGACCTGTGTAATGCGCACAGGTGGCTACCCTTCTCGAAGGACCGTTCACCCTGCGTTAAGCCGAGACATGTTGGACACCCAGCGGGGAAGCCTCTATAAAGCTCGCGGTAGGAATCTTGGGATCCTATCAACTCCCCTACCGCATTTCTGGTGAGTTGACTCTTGCTTTTTGGTGCTCCTACATGTACTCACTCTCCATAACCGCACAGCCCACTGCCCACGCCCATCGCCAGATACTCGTTCATCAAAGAATCTCGCTATTGCCGCTATGACCAGTTGAGTCATACGTCCCACACACTTATAATTATCCTGACAGCTGCATCTAGATAGACCCCTCTATCCCATCGTCCAGAAGCTCGTCGACTGGCTTGACAAGGCCGGAAACGAGGACGTCAAAGGAGGAATGGCCACCGCTTTCGTCTGGGTTGCCACAAACGTCGACTGGGGCAGCATTCCGCCCCCAGGCATTGCCCCCGAAAGCGACTCGGATGATTCGTCGGGCCTGAGCCAGTACATCAAGATCTTGAACGACTTTGTGCACTGGGTTCCCGTCGAGGACAAAGACGGCCGTACCGTCTACAGCTTCCTCTGTTTGTTCTACCTCTTGCTTGACCACGAGGCTGTGGTCAAGTACCAGGCCCCGATCAAGCCCGGAGAGATAGCACCGTGGCTTTGGCTGTCCCAGTGGGTCATCCAATATGCGAAGGAGGTGGGGAAGTGGATGGACACGCCCATGTCGTTGACGGAGAAAAGCCTTCAAAAGTTTAAGGACTCGCCGCCCTACAACGTCGGAGCTTACGACGAGCCCGATGGCGGGTGGGAGACTTTCAACGACTTCTTCGCGCGCAAGTTCAAGGACTATCCAACGCAACGCCCGATCGCCTCGCCCAGCGTTGACACGGTCATCGTCAACCCCGCGGACAGCGCGTTCGACGGCGACTGGGAAGTGACCGGCTCGGGAATGGACGCCGGCGTTACGTTTGACGTTAAGGGCCTTCACTGGACGACCAATCAGCTCCTCGATGATCTCTACGACGGCGATGGCAACGCAGTCGGACCCCAGTTTGCTGGCGGGAGGTTCACGCACTCGTTCCTCGGCCCTACCGACTACCACCGCATGCATGCACCCGTTTCAGGCAAGGTCGTCGCCGCCAAGGTAATCCCTGGTCTCTGTCATCTCGAGGCCGTCCTCAAGCCCAAGGATCCTGAAGCGGACCCAAAGAAACCCGGCGCGAAACCGTTCGAGCTCTTTATGCACCGCTACATGCGCCGCGTCGACGACAAGAGCATCCCCAAAGAACATCGCGGCATCGCTCCTTCCGCAGCGTCTGTTGAGACTTTTGGAACAGGGATGGTCCCGGACGCGCCCAACTCTCCCGGCTACCAGTTCCTCCAAGCGCGCGGACTCGTTCTCATCGATACAGAAGGGTTTGGCAACTTTGGCCTCGTCGCGGTTCTCCCGATAGGCATGGCCCAGGTGTCCTCCGTCGTGCTCAGCGTGAAGAAAGGCCAGGAACTCAAGAAGGGCGATGAGATCGCGTACTTCCAGCTCGGAGGGTCGGATATCGTGATGGTATTCCAGGACAAGGCCAACGTCGTGTTTGATCAGGTGCCGATCAACACACACCGCAACTTCGGCGAGAAGGTTGCCGTTGCCCGCCCTGGCAAAGCTCCTGCCGCTTCCAAGTAGAGGTGGAAAGCTTCGTATGCACTTCGTATGACCGGCGCTGAACTCCTCAGGTGTCTTAGTATCTTCCTTGTCCGTGACCGCGCGTATCTCGTCTTGATGTATGTGTAGGATGATGTACTGCGCAAATTCCATGAGCTCCCTTTTGACACCTTGTCATGCTACTCATCGTCGGGGACGTCCGTCTTGTGCATTGACGCAAACTTCTCCTTGCCCACGACAAGCATGCAATACTCGCCGGGCGATTGCACCTTCCATTTAAAGGCATCGCGTCTCTATCGCGTCTTGTCGAAGGTTTCCCTTTCATGGATGGGCTCGTGATTGAAGAATGCTTGCTATAGAGCGTGTTTCGAGCTGGTTCTACGCCGGATTGAAAATACGCCGGAGATTGATCACCACCACCGTCCCTGGTTCGGTCCAGCGCTCACCGCTCAGCTCGCAGAGAGCATGGAAGCAGTACTAGTCAAGCAACGGTCGAGAGTCGCGACTCACGGCAGCAGAGTGCGTATACTGATCTATACTTTATTTTCAGCATTGCTTGGATGGTCTGTTGGTGTAGTTGGTTATCACGTCTGTCTCACAGACTCCTACGTTTGTGCCCACAGGAGGTCCCCAGTTCGAGCCTGGGTCAGATCATTTTTGACGCCTGTGACTTTGCCATACTCACAATATCTGCGGATTAGGTATTAGGTGGCCCTCGAATCCAGAAGAAACCTACGAGCTATAGTTGATCATACGCGTCTCGCAGATAACGTGGATATCGCTCACCGCAGTGGCGCAGATGGTGATCCCTATCTAGTGCAAAAGCGCTTATGGCTTATCGCAGGCTGCCTTCAACCACCATCACCACTGCCCTGACTTTATCCGGATCGTCTCCCTTGGACGTATCTCGAGACTATTGCACCTGCGCATCTACGGTTGAGCTCTAGCTATACGTTTAGCGCTTGCGTGTCCCGGCCATCGACACTGATGGCTTCTATCATGCCAGGCCACCAAGCATCTTCCGAGTCGTGCGTCGCGCTATCTATATGCAGACCGATTCACATGTCTTACCTTTTGCTAGGCCATATATTATGCATGTCAATGATGACGTTCTCAAAGAGATAATAGTGGCATGTATGGAATCCGCAGACACGTACTATGGAGCTGGTCCTCCCGACGAGTTCAAGGACTTCCTCAGTCTGCGGCTAAATCTACGTGATCGCAAACGTAACCTCTACACGATGATCCGCGTATGTCGACGGTTCAGAGACGTAGCATATGCAAATGCAGATATCTGGGCCAGTATCGCCGGCGCATCTGGGAGTGAAAGGGGATTCAACCGATTGGTTGAGAGAGCACGTCGTGCCCCACTCACCCTGGTCCATTCGAGGGAGCGCACACTATCGGACACGCAGATAGACTATGCTGTGAAGAACCTAGACCGAATCGCCCGTCTCTCTGTGGAAACCAACGAGAGCTGCGACTGGGCCGAGATCCTCTCAGGCAAATCTATGGCCTCGCTGTCGGCGCTGAGCGTCAGTTCATTCTCACGGTACACCGTCTCAACGAGGCAATATGCCCTTCCACCTCTGGATGCCCCTCAACTTCGGCATCTCGTTTTCAGCGATTCGTTCTTCATCCCTGTCATGGCTCCTCGACTACGAAAACTCAAGCTTTCCGGCATTCGTGTCATCTTCATGGAACCTGCACACTTATTGGATCTGCTCTCGTCGACCCCCTTCCTTCAGGACCTGTCACTCTCCGATGTCATCCCGTCAGCGATTACCAAAAAAGAGCAATGGGAGCCGTGTCTTGGACACGTAGCCGTTCTCCCAATGTTGGAAGTACTCAAAGTGCACGCTGATTGTTGTGCCACAATTATCACCCTCCTGGAACATGTCAAGCTTCCGGACGCATTGGACGCACGCATCACTTTCACGGCCACCGAATGCGACGCAGATGTACTCGCTCTTGGTCGCTCACTGCAACATTGTTTAGTCAACCCTGTCTTTGACACGGTGCTCATTCGTATAGAAGCAAGGTTTGTGAGCACCTTCGAGGTGTATAGCAACCGGGATCTTGGCACGGTGGATACTCCTGGCATATCGCTGGGGTTGAATGACGACAAGAAGCTCCTTGAGCACGTCGCTACACTCGCGGAGTTCATCCTACCGCATCGCATCGAGCATCTCGATCTCAGACAGACTTGCGAATCTTCTGTCTACAACACCGACGCCATGGCGCGCGCGCTCAAATGGATCGCGCCCTCCGTGCAAACGATCTCCATCGAGGTCGTGGACGGCATAGTACTCGATTTCCTCACGGACGAAGGCTCACCCCTTGACTTCTCTGCACTGCGCGAGATCAAGATGAAGTGGCCCGAGCAGTCGGAGCCGCAGAGGGGCCCGGACCATTGGGACGGCTTCCGCGCATGGATGAAACGTACGGGCGCGAAGCAGCTACAGACTTTGACCCTGGAGGGTGTCAGTCATCATATCGACCGCTGGTGCTTGGAGCACGTGCAAGCGATTCTGAAAGAGCACGACAGCAAGTGCACAGTGGTGGACAAGCGTATCACTTATGGTGCGCGAATCAACTACGAGCCCATTACCGGCGGTCGGGAGATATGGGATTGGTCGACATGAGATGGTGCCACATGTACTTACTGGTACTGTGTACTTGTACTGTGATAGATAGCCACCGCTACCTGAATACGTGTTCTCGAGCGCGTCAACGCTGTGCGATATGTAATAGCTCGATTATGGACTTGACCAATAGTACCCTGCATTGTCGGGTAGACGCCACCCTTTGCTTATCTCTGTATCGTAAGCCATCTAAATAACGAGTGCCCGAGAGAGTACATTCAAAAGCATACGGCACGCCGGTTCGCGTTCCAGAATCGGCGCTAGCGCACGCGTCCACCGCTTGACTCTGACCACCATGCCCGTCGCTGCGATTCGGACGCGGTTCAGCCCGCCCATCCTCTCAGTACTCGTAGACAGCCACCGTCATCTTTTATCAACTTGACATTCCCTACGCGCCTAGACGACAGCAAAGGGGCTATGAACCTGGCCTGAAATGACGCTATAGGATATGGCGAGCTGGTCCAAGACACCAACCCGCACCGACTTATAAGATGGTTGCGAAGCACCTTACTTCTCTGACTGTCTGGGCTTCGTACTCTGACACTGTCCTTGTCCACCTTGGTGGTCTTTTGGTATGTTTGCTTTCTACTTTCGTCCTTAACAGGCACTGATTTCGTACTAGAGCCTGTCATGCATCCCCGACAGCGCGCGAACCGGGATGCGCCTGCCCTGGAGGCTAGACATACTCGCTTGGAGAAGCTGGATATCAACTTTGCGCGAGAGGAAAACACCTTCCTCGTCGCGCCTGCCGGTCCTACCGGTGTAAACTGGTGGCCGTATACGTGGGAGGGCGCCCAAGGCTTCGCCACTCCGACGACGGCTCAACCCGAACCCACGCCCGCCCAGACGCAGGACTCCATTCCTACCTCCACCACCTCCTCTTCCGATCCCTCTTCAACTTCTACCTCGGTCCCTACACCTGCATCGAGTACGAGCTCAGCAACGTCCTTCCAAGGATCCGTAATCTCGGCGTCCTCGACTGCGAGCGGAACTTCTGCCGCGTCTGTTCGTGCTGTTAGCTCAACATCTCCGTTCAAGCTGTATTTGCTTGCCCCTATCATCGGTGGAGTTGGGCTAACCCTGCTCGCGATATGCATCGTCTGCCGACGTCGGCGTCATCGCCGACACAAGGACACGATCTCCGCTCTCGAAGCAGGTCCGCGTTACGAGACTTACGAGTCGAAGCCGCTCTTTCCCCTGGACGGCATGCAACAGGTCTCCCTCCTTCGACCTGAGGATCCGCGCGGCGTTCAACGTGTACATGCGAATCAACGCCCTCCCAGCCATCGGAGCAAACGTAGCAAGCGCTCTACTCGAAGACCCGCCCAGCCTGGTTTAGCCGCCGCTTCGCGCTCTTCACACACGCTCGGAGTTCCTGAGCTTTCCGAGCGCCCAGACTCCCCCAGTGTCTACAGTGTACCATCGCGGGGCCCATCGCGGGCCATGACAGTGCTCTCCGCCCATCCCAAGAACGCGGGCGCGGACGAGTCGTACGATAGTCATCGCCACAAGTCTATCCGACGTGGACTGGTCGAGCGCATTAACTCAGAGGGCCGTCGCGGAGCAGGTTATCAAGCTGTCTCTGACGACGAGGATGAAGAGGAGGATGCGATGCTAGCCTACTACGAATCCGGGCGCTCTCCGTTGTCTGCCGTCACTGCGCGATCGGGTCCCGGTTTCCGCATCGTTCAAGAAGACCCACCGAGCCCGAGCGCGCTTCACTCTGAAGCTAGCAGCTCCTGGCTTGCTTGGACGCGCGGATGGTCTGCTTCGAACCTCAACATCGCGGAGCAAGCCCCGCCTGCTTCTGGACACAGCCACTTCACGCCCAAGCCAATGCGCCGTCGCGACCGGACCAGCGGGAGCTCGAGCGGCGCGGTGACGCCCACTGCGCGCACTCCCACGCATAGCCGCCCACCATCACGCACCACAACACCTGCTCGTAGTCGCCCGGCGTCGCGCACCACATCTCCCGCCCGCAATGCACCTCCGCGCGTCCCAATGCTGCCGGCGAGTCCCCCGCTTGTTAGCTCACCGCAGTTCAATGCTGCGCTGACTTTCGGCGGGCCGGACCCGAGCGCTCAACCAACAACGTCGCCGCGGCGTAAGGCGCGCGCAACGTCCCCGTCATCGCGGGAGACGGCGCGCGAACATCAGTCTCGTCGTTCCACGCGCGACACGAAGCTGCCGTACCCTGGTGATGTAGAAGGCGAGGACCGTCGGCGGGGGCGGGAGCAGCGAAAGAAGTCGCTGCCAACACCGC